CCTCGATAAGCGCTTAATTTCTCAGAAATCTCCGATCCAAAGAGAAAATGGCGACGTACAGAGCCGAAGACGATTACGATTACCTCTTCAAGGTTGTGTTGATAGGAGATTCCGGCGTCGGGAAAACTAACCTCCTTTCTCGATTCACGCGCAATGAGTTTAGTCTCGAATCTAAATCCACGATCGGTGTCGAATTCGCCACTCGTAGCATCCATGTCGATGATAAGATCGTCAAAGCCCAGATTTGGGATACCGCAGGCCAAGAGAGGTATGCATAAATTACAAATATACGTTTTCGCTTCATGCTCATTGATTTAGAGATCTTCTTCCGTAAGATTTGTCGATGAAGGTGAGAAATTCCATTACATGTTAACTCACATTCCTGATAAATTGTGATTTGATGAAGATATCGAGCAATCACAAGCGCGTACTACAGAGGAGCTGTAGGAGCATTGCTTGTGTATGATGTTACAAGGCATTTGACGTTTGAGAATTTGGAAAGATGGTTAAAGGAGCTTCGAGATCATACAGATGCAAATATTGTCATCATGTTCGTTGGTAACAAAGCAGATCTTCGTCATTTACGAGCTGTATCAACCGAAGACGCTAAAGCTTTTGCAGAGAGAGAGAACACTTTCTTCATGGAGACATCTGCTCTTGAAGCCATGAACGTCGAGAATGCTTTCACCGAAGTTCTTTCTCAGATTTACCGTGTGGTTAGCCGGAAAGCGTTGGATATAGGAGACGATCCGACTGCTCTTCCTAGAGGACAGACAATCAATATTGGGTCCAAAGACGATGTCTCTGCGGTGAAGAAGGTTGGTTGTTGCTCAGATTGACAGGTCCAAGGACGATGTTTTGCGTTCAAGAATCGGTTTATCTCGGTCTGATAGTTGAACGCACATCCATGGACTGTTTTGTCGATCTTGTTTCATTTTTTCTTCGTGTCATATGTGAAGATCTTGTTTCATTTATATGTATAGTCACACACACTTAAAACATACTATTGATCAACAATGCATTTTGATAAAGTTTGCGTTTCCATTTCAAATGCATATGCCAAACATGTACAGCGTTTTTAAACGCCGGTGACTGTTTGTCTACCGTTTATTAATGTGATCTTGAGACCAAACACAGAGCATGGGAAGCACCAATGGAGACAGAGATAACCTTGTGCGGATCAAGCTCATCTTCTTCGTTTAAGAAGTTGACTTCGACCGGAGAAGTTTGGATCTCTGGGAGTCCTGGAACTCCTAACTGGAAATCTTTAGCGTTTCCCCACATCCAGAGTTTACCTCCGTCTGCCAAAACGCAATCCCATGTTTCTAGTTTTCTGAGGCATTTCTTATGTCAAATGAACATAACAATAGCTAAAGGTTTTTACCTGTGATCGCTGCAGAAGAAGAACCTCCAGAAGCTATGAAGATGATCTTTTTATCTGCTAATGCTTTGATTTCTGTAGGAATTTTCTGGTTTTGCAGTGAGGAATTACCCAATTGTCCGTGGCCACCGTGGCCCCATGAGAGTACTTTACCATTCTCTGTTGTCACACCGAGCAAATTTCAAGTTAAAATTGTAGAAAATCGACCAGAGAATTGTCGGTTTGCAGAAGATTGTTTACCGGTTAAGGCAAGAGAGTGATATCCACCGCATGCAATCTGGGTAATACGAACGTCTTCTAAACTGGGAACCGGCTTTGGTTCCCAACCTCCCAAGTTATCACCACGTCCGAGCTCATAATTGGAATTTGCTGATACATAAAGATCCAATGAAATCTTCTTCCACTGTTAATGGTAGAAACTAAGGCTATAATGGTTTTTACCTCCCCAGTTCCAGAGCTGTCCCTCTTGTGTAAGCGCCATTGTGAAGAAACCACCACATGAGACAGAGGCTAGAGGAACTTTTAAAGCTTTGACCTTTGAAGGAACACTAAGCCCACCACCTTCGTTTGGACCTCGCCCTGGTCCGAGTCCTAGTCTACCGTCTCCTTCTTCTCTACCCCACATATATAGGTCTCCTAAAACCAAGAACAAATCTTACTCGGTTAAGAGTTCCATAGAACATATACTAGTATATCAAACAGTTGAAAGCAAGAAGACAAACAACACTATGATCCGGTCGAGGTTTTGAGGATCAGCATTAGAGGAATCAATTACTCTTATAGTTACTGCTATTACAATATCAGCTATTTCAAAACTTTCTTTTGAATTCGCATATGCATATGAAGCAATGTCTAATGAGGTATATAACTGCAGAAATGTAACAAGAAGAGAAAAACATGTGGAACCTGATTCGGTAATAGCAGCGGTATGAGTTCCACTGGTTGCAATGGCAGAGATTTTGCAGTCCCAAGATCCGTCAACACGTCGAGGCACGAGTTCTCTAGTGTAAACCGAATGTCCAAGCGCACCAAACCCACCATATCCCCTGGCAACTTCATTGTTCAATTTTTATGGAACCATCACATTACGCCGTAAAACAAAAGCAAACATCAAACAGAAAATGTAATCTCGTTCCCATTTGCTTCAATTGCTCAAAAACACTAGTTATGATTCTGATTCCTAACTCAAAATTGAGATCAACAGATTCAACAACGTGTAGAAAGAAACATTAGTGAATGATCGAATTCGAAGCTATAGCTTACCAAGTGAATACATCTCCTTGATGGGTTAAAGCCACAGAATGTAAACCACCGAGAGCTACACATCGAATCGAATGCTCCTCGAAAAGAGGGTTTAACTTTGGCGCGAACACAGAATCCTCTTGACCAAACCCTAGTCGCCCTCCGTCTCCTTTTCCCCAAATCCATAGATCTCCATCGATGGTTAAACCCGAGTGAAACAACCCGGAAGAGATTCCAACCCGAAAACTCGACCCGTTTGAATCGACGTCGATTCTTCCAGGCGTTTGGGCGAGAGAGAAGGATTGATCGGAGCGACGAAGAAGATTTGCTACCGGAGACGGATACATTCGAATCTCCTCGATGCCGCCTCCGAGCTGACCAGATGCGCCTCGTCCCCACGAGAGAAGCTGGAGGGTTACGGAATCCGACTCGATCTCTGGGCTTCTGTAGAGTATAGGAACCTTGGTGTCTCCGCCGCTTCTTTGAGTGTTCCTGGAGGAGGAGAAACGGCGCGTGAAGCTACGTAGACGGTGGCTAATCGCTGCCATTTTCGTCGGAGTGAAACCTTACCGGTGGGTTTTAACATATCAGTTTATTGCACTGCATATTGAAACGACAGCGTTTTGGAGTAAGATTAGAATAATAACTCGTTAAGACCCTGTATTTATTGTTTCTTTGTCAATAAGACCCTATACTATTACAATTGTGAAATTATGTCTAATTATAAATAATCACTCTTCTGTTTTTTTTTTTTGGAAGTCTTATTAGTACAGTGCTTTGTTGAAGAGTTTAACTGCTCTGAAATTCAGCTTCTTAGTTATAATGACATAATTTCTCCCAACAAATGATGAGAAATCGTGAAATTATGTCTTCTAACTCAAGTGTTACGAGAATATTATACTATACTCTGGAAATTTGCAGAAGTTTTTCAATTTTTGAGTAGACTCCTTCGAATATTTTCTAGAATCAAAGGATACAAATTGTGATAGAAGAAGATGATCATACTTTTGTCATAATTAAGGATTTGAAAATCTTACACAAACAAAATTGTTAGTTGATGAAAAAGGAGTTAGTTGGTGATTTAATCAGTCTTTGCAGCTGCAATTATATATCTGACAATGAGGCAAGAGCCTTGTGCAAACAGTCACATTAGACATGTACATTCAAATTTCAAGAACAGATATATGTAACCATCAAAGACATCAAGAATCCGATGGTTTCTTCTTCTTCTTTTTTTTTTTCGCGATCTTGCTTGTCTAAATACATCTATAATCTATTCAGCGGAAAAAACTGAGAAATGTAAAATCAAGATTGTAGATGATTTTGTGAGTGTTTTCTTTACTCAGAAACAGAGTAGTACAAAAGAAGCTCAGAAAAAAATCCTTCCTTATCAGAATCTACAACATTGAAACCCTAAAGCAATTGGCTTTTGTTTCTTGGGAGACAAGTCATCGGATTTAGGCATCTGAACAGGGCTCCCCATCCACTCTACTCCCAATCTGCATGAATTTTCAATCCCAAATTATCAATTCAGAAACCCTAATTTCCAAGACAAAGNAAAANAAAAAAAGAGTTAAATCATCTTTGTTGTTATTGAAACTCACATAGGAAATGCAAAAGATCCCCTTCTTTCATCAGAGTTATTAGACCCGCTAGATTTATCAGATGCATCAAT